TGGACACTCGTGTCCTCTTCTCTTCTGTACAGCCTGGGCAAGGAGAGTTCAAACCTTTGCTTCCCACGCACAGTTACGGAATCCTCCAGAAAGATGATTCCAGAAAGATCCAGGGCCAGGTTGGGAGGGACCACAGTGGGGCACCTGGTGCCACCTCTCTGCTCAAGCAGGGTCATCCCAGAGCACATGACATGGGATTGTGTTCTGAAAATTTTAAATGTCTCCAGTGCAGGAGATTCCACAACCCCTCTGGACAATCTGCTCCAGTGTGCAGTCACCCACACAGTAAAGAATCCTCTTGTGAGCGTTTCAGGCATTTGGCCTAAAAGCCAAAACAGCTTCTAGGAACTACCCAGCAGTCTCTGCAACAAAATAGATCCAGTCAGCCTGCACCACTCATCATTTTTTGCATGGCATTAATTGTAATGGCTGATGTATCTGCCTATACAATCACTTTATGGGCAGTGCTGAGGTTTTGTTTTTGTTTTCTTTGACAAAAACATGAATCCATCTTGAAGAATCGAATCCTTCTTGTTCCTCTGCTCTTCCTGTCCTTCATGAAAGGTGTCCTTCTGAAGCAATGAGATAACTCTTTCCCATGCCTCTGATGGCAATCAAAGCCATTCCTTCTGAGTCATAACCCCAATTAAACTGCTCATGCCATAGAGCCCGGGGGAGCTGTACTTGCTTTGGAGCAATGGTCTGCACCGGTCCCAAATTGTGCTTCACACCTTTTCATAGGGGAAGGAAAGGGCATTGATGATGCACAAATAGCTGAGAAGTCCTGCAGCTATGCTCTGTGCTTATTGAGCAAACACAGCACAGGAAGCAACTGGGAAATAATGAACAGATGCATGAACTGGAAAGCAAAACTAAACATCTGTACCCTCACCAATCAAACTGCAGGGAAAACCTGGGAGAAGATCACAAATATTTACCACACAGCTAATGAAGTGCAGAAGATTCTGGCAGAATCTCTTAAGAGAGATGAAAACATCTTTAAAATGAGGCTATTGTCAGCCTCAAATGTGATGTTTTGTTTAAGCCATAAAGATGCTTTAGCTAAGTGGTTAGAAGCAAACATGGGTTGGCAAACATGGCTTTTTTTCTTTTAAGAGCCTGGGTAGTTTTGAAGGAGAGTGGAATTGAGTCAACAGAGTAGTAGGAGGCTGGATGGGCTCCTGCAGCAAGAAGAAAATGGAGATTTCTGTGCCAGTTTTGAAGGGCACTTTTAACCAGCCTCAGCAGGAGAGATGTGGGCTGCTTGCAGTCTCCAGGCAGAGGCAGTGATGCACTCCAGGCCATGCAGAGCCAGCCAGAGGGGCCTGGAGGGGGTGGATGTGCTCAGATATGCTTCTCTCTCCGATCCAGCCCTGAGCCCTGAGCAGGCAGCAAGGCAGAACTCCCAAGGCCCCTCTGCAGAAGGGATTTGGAAGAGGATGAGCAGTTATATATAGATATATAATAGAAAATGTTTTCAGTAAGGACAATGAAAAGCTTATTTTTCCTAACTTGTCTCTGTAAATCATAAGTTTTTTGTTACATGACTGACCAGCCCTTAGGACAGAAGCACCCATATCTACATTGGAGATGTCTTAACACATTTGTAAGAGAAATAAAAATAATAAATCAATTGGAGACTCTCCACTGACTTCAGAGATCACTAGGCTAGGCTTTCTCTGTCAATACTAATTGGGGATTGCTGCTTAGATGTTCATGGCTACTGCCACTGAAATGAATTGGCTGCAATATGAACATAAAATCATGCAACAACATAAACTCTGCATCTCCAGTTGCTGGAGAGCTTTATAGAGAAGTCCCTTGAGAAGGAAATTAGTAATGGGTTATAAACTCTTCTACTGTTCTTTGATGTCCCCAGACAACTCATGTCAGAGATGGAAGTGCAGGAAGTAGAAGTCAGCAAAAAAAGCTTCAAGTGGAATTTGCAATCATTAAATGCAGAAACTGACTGAAAATCTTTCTGTATCTCAGCTTTTGTACTTAGCTGACACATGTGTTAAGGCAGTACAATGCAAATCAGAGTGCCTGCTCCCAAGTGTTCATACAGACTTGGAGGAACTCGTGAATTCATGGAGAGGACTGTGGAGGGAGTGATGGTGGAAGGATTTGAGTGCTGAGCAGGAAGGAAGAGAAAGGGAAGGACTGAATAAAATGCAGATCAGGAAAATCAGATAACCATGACAAATACAAACGAGCACTGAAAGACTTTCTGAGTAGAGTCTCTAAGAACTGTAACAAACTTTAATATGTTTTGGGAATGAGATAATGAGATGAGGGAGTAAGTGCTACAGAGGTTGGCATGCTTCTTATGTGCATAAAAATCCCTTCTCACCACAGAGCAGCCCAAGCCCTTGTCCCTTTGAATCTCCTAACAAACCCTTCTTCTCTCTGAGGTGTTAGTTGTGACTCAGCAAGTACTGAGTCAACAGCATGGCATTTATTTTTGTGTGAGTCCTTTGCTGAGGCTTTTCTGGGTGAGTGGTGATGGGCTCAAGCTGGTGGCCCCCAGCTCAGCTCCGTGCTGGGAATCTCTGCTTGGATTGAAGCTTAAAAGCAATCAGTGTGATGACAAGAAGCATGACAGCACTGAAGCAAGATGCTTCACAGACACTTTTCCCATGGCTCAGGGGGTATTTGAGATGAAAACCACCTGCAGATGTGGAGGTACTCCATGCTCTGAGGCTGTTTTCACCAAAAGGGCATCTAAAAGCTAAAAGGGATAAAAATGAATAGTCATCATTATGGACTGGATTTCTGCCAGCTGCTAAGTAATTAGAGTTTTAATTGCCCAGTAATAAAAGTTTTTAATTACTCAGCAATTAGTGCTTGAAGTTTCAAGTGCTTCACATGCACTCAGTTGCATCCTTGAATTGTCAAGAGTAAAAAATGGAGCAGCTCCAGCTTTGCCTCAGCAAAGCTCTGAGCAAGAGAGGGAAACACCAGGGATGGAGCAGCTATGCCTGAAACCCATCCTAACTACTCTATCTAACTACAGTATGTTTATTGCAATTAAAAAAAAATATTTCACCTTTTCCCTAGCTAATTTAAGGCCAAAATACCCTTTGTATCATCAAGTATGAATTGCTTCATACCTAGCATTATCGTGATTAATTTTCCATATGCAGGATAATAAAGGTCCTGAGGCTTTGGTTTCTCTCTTCTTGCTTTACTAGAATTTAAATATCATTAACAAGCCAAACTACAGCAAAGTCAGCAGCTGCCAATGGTGCAGGAAGCAGGGCTGCATTTAGGGTACAGAGTCTGGAAGAAACTGCATAGATATGATCTGCTTGGGTAACCTCAAAGAGGCAAATTGTCTGATGAACCATGTAGTCAGAGAGTTGGGACAGCTTTTCCATAAAATAATTACAGTTGCTCCAGCCTTCTTTTCTTTTCTTTTCTTTTCTTTTCTTTTCTTTTCTTTTCTTTTCTTTTCTTTTCTTTTCTTTTCTTTTCTTTTCTTTTCTTTTCTTTTCTTTTCTTTTCTTTTCTTTTCTTTTCTTTTTTCTTTTCCTCTTCTCTTTTCCTCTTCTCTTCTCTTCTCTTCTCTTCTCTTCTCAATGCCCAGAAGAGAGAGCTTTAAATGATGTTCAGGTTTTTTTACAGGCAGGGTGCAAAATCTATCACAAGAACTTTGGCAAAACCAGGCAAAATTGATTTAGTAAAAATGTTTAATGGAAAAAAATTCTGGTAGAGGAAGGGCGGGTTGAAACCTTCCAAAAATTCAAAGTAAGCCGCATGTTCTATTACATGTTACTCATAACTCTAAAAAATCTTAATTTTGACAGAGGAATCATAATGCCTATCAAAATTTGGGGGATTTGTTTCCTTTTTTTCTTAGACTGGTTTCCAAATTTATCTGTTGTCAGAGTTAAAGTTGAGAAGTGAAGTTTATGGGAAACATACCAAGAGTCACGTAAGCACAAGTTAAAAAAAAAAAAACCTTCCTATGCCTGAATATTAGAAAAAATACCAACAAATTCAAATTATGATTACCCAAACATCAAAATCAAAATAATATACAAATAATAATATACAAATAAAACATTAAAGAGAGTTTTTTTCCCTTCTTCTCTGAAAGTAATTTAGACTCTTTAACAGCACATGGATGGTTTGTAACCTGGTTAATAACTCAAAGCATTTAGGTCTTCTCTAAAGCAGCATCAGATGTTTTCTGTACCCTGGGTTGTCCAGGTCACTAATTCCACACATGCTGTATGTCACTGGGGTGCTGAGTTCAGGGACTGTACATCTGTTTGCTGTCTCATTTCCCTGTGACAGCACAGTGCACTTCACATTGGTGAATAGATACCTGGTGGTAGCAGGCTCTGGTTTTTCCAGTTATTACACTGCAAAGTATTAAAGCCACACTAAGCTGGGATTCACCTCACTGGATGTAGCTGCCTTGTCTAAGCTGGTAAGAGGCTCAGTGAAGTGCCACAGACATCTGGGTGAGTCACTCCTTCCAAGTGTGAATGCCCAGGACAGATGAGCTAGTTACTCTCTGGTGGATCTGTCTCAAATAAATAAGGAGAATCAACTTTTAGGCAACTGAAACCAGAAGAATTGCAGACTCAGAGGCATGATAGTAGAAGAATGGACCAAATAAAGTTGTTTTTGTTCAAGCATCAGTACTGGTTTCCCCCTTCAGATCCAGGAAAAGGGCCTGTATTTCAGACAATGTTAATGCTGCAATTATCATTATTCCTGTCACCTCTGATGGTGCAACTCAGAGTCCCAGGTTTGGATAACAAAGCACCCTGTGTTAGGCATCCTCTGGATCCAGCTGAACTCCATCCTTGGTCAATCAAGGCCAAAGCAATCCCTGCCAGACATTTCATTTACAGTCAAAGGCCGTTCCATACAGTAAGATTTTGCAAGACACATTTTTTTTTACTGGATTCTACTGTTGAAAATGCTGCTTCTTGTCAGTGTTTGGCACCTTATGAAACCTCTCTTTTCCCATTGCTGTTTTCCAGCTGTGCTTTTCCCAGCTTCTCAGAGATTCAAGAGGTCCTCAGCTGCCTTCCTGAACCCAGTGTTACAGAACTCGCTGGAGGATGTGGTCCTGCTCTATGAGGTTCAGTATATGGTTCCTTAAACCTTAACCAAGACTGGGGGTACTGCCCATACTTGGGTTATCCATTATCTGGCTTTGTGTCACTTTTATTCATCCAGCAGTAAACCCCTGGCTGTGTGATAGCTCACCAGAAAGGTGGGAGCACACAGCAACTTTCTGGTCTTCCCCACCTCCATACAGTGCAACTGTCTCCATTTAACAAAAATTAAAGACCCAAGGACATGTTGTTAATTCACATGTATTCTGTCTAGAGTCTCTTGGAGAAAATAAATAGCTTTCTGTGTTCTGATTTTGTACCAGTTTCTTTTAGCTGAGCTTGACATTGACAAAGGGCAGAGGATCTCCATCAAGGATGAGGAGCTGGCTTCCCTGAGGAAGGCTGCTGACTTTGACACCATCTGCAACGAGATTATCCCCAAGAGCATCCCAGAGATCCGCAGGCTGAGCAGCAGGCTGTCTTCCTACCCGAGGGTCCTCAAGAAGGAGGACTTTGAGAGGACAGTGCTCACCATGGTCTACACGGCCTACAGAGCTGCCCAGTCCCAGGGACACCAGAAGGACACTTGGGCTGAATCCTTTGTCAACCTCTACAAAGCCCTGAAGAACGATTTGATGCTGTCATACAACAAACAGCCCTCATAGTGGAAGGGGAGCAGCAGCTCAGCCACCCGCCCTGGCTGGTGAAGGACACCTTGTAGCACGCCCACCACTTTATTCTGTAAAGAGTTTCATAGCCTGCTTCGTGAAAAATTGTTTGTTTTCTGGCTCCCTCTTGTGGAGTCCTCTTTCTAGTTCCATGCTAAATGGTGAAAAATGTCTTCAGTCCTGAGAATCCGATTTTTGTGCTGGCTTGGAGGCGCCTTCTGTGACAGGAAAAGAAGGCAGTTTGGTGCACACCCAGACAGATCAGGCAAACCCTTGGTTCATCCTTTGGGTTCCCTATAAACAACACATAAATATACTGTGCTTGTGCTCACATGCTGGTGTGTAAGTGCTGGAGGGTGCTGCTCTCCTAGCTGGGGAAACAAGTTCATGTTTTGGCTGGTCAGTAAGAGAATATGACACAGAGATGAAGGCCTGCTGCAAAAGGAAGAGGTTTCATAACTGTCAGCCTTCAGAAATTATGCCCCATATTTTCCATTCCAAATGTTCTCATAAATAATCACCCTCTGATTCACTTTATTTGGCTGAGCCAGTGTTAAATTGCAATAACATTTTCAGAAGACAAAGGGCATTGTGAAGACCAGCAGCAAACAATGCCTGTGAACTTATTCCCTGCTTCCTGGAGCTGTCCTCCCAAACAGTCTGCAATGATTCTTTCATTATTTGCACATGACTTTGCTTCTGCTGCTTGTTTTTTTGGTTTTGTTGGTTTTTTTGTTTTGTTTTGTTTTTGTTTTTGTTTTTGTTTTTGTTTTTGTTTTTTGAAAGGAACATGTATTTGTCCTCAGTGGAATCCCAGGCAAGACAAAAGCCCTATTTAATTTAATAAGGACACATTTTTCCTGGTTAAAATCACTTGAACATAAGTCATCTAAACCTGTGCTCCAGAATCCCACTGAGGCAAGGGAAGAAGGTGCATTAAAACATACCTGGTGCTGAATTTGGCACTGTGGCTCTTTTTTTTTTTTACAGTAAATTGTATATTCATTTCAGTATCCTTGTGTTTGTGTGTGTGTGTGTCTGTGTTCATGCATGTTGTGTGCACATGAGTGCTGAGTGCGTAGAAGAATCCCAAATTGTTCAGTCAGTGAACAATTGCCTCTGACCACTTGGCAGAAAAGGCTATTTACCAATTCAGTGGTGCAAATTATGAGTTTGGGACCAGCAAAGGAAAAACTGTAGAAATAGTGCAACCAAATACAATGAACTCCCAAAAAAGTCGTGAAAGGCAAATAGACAGAAAAAGGAGATCTATTTTGTCAGAAGGATGACTAGCTATCAAAAATCCAAACTCTTCTAAATCAAACCCCCTAATGTTTGTGCACAGGAGATACAAACTCTGTTTTCCTATTGATATTAGAGGTGCTTCTGCTTCCAGACCATGGGAAAATAGCTGAACATTTATTTCATCCTTTCATATCATCATTCTTTATTTTTCTAGTGCATAATATATTAAGGATGCAGGTCCAAATCACAAATCCTCAAGACTAAAACAGACCTAAGGATTCCAGCCCAAGTTCTGAATCATGTTCAACTGCTTTTGCATCACTTGAGCAAAAGGAATTAATTCTCCTGTGTCTCTTGAAGGGGTACTTCAAGGATTGGAGCTGAAAAAATCCACCCAGAAGCACAGCAAAGAGCACAGTGCAAGCAGTCAGAGCACTGGCTTTGGCAAACAAACCCAGTTTGTGGGTTTGGGGAAGCACAGCAGCCTTGGGGCAGTCTGGCCATGGCATTAGCAGCTGCACAAAGGGCTTAAAAAAGACAGACTCAGTCTTGTTTCCCCCAGGAGTTTCTGGGTTTGCGTGTACAAGTGTGCATGTTCATTTAGACACACAAATGTGTGAGTGCCTTTTATACCTGGAGAATTTTGTTGGCCATCTTCAAAGCCTGTCTGGCAGATGGCAAAGGAAACTGCAAGCCTCAGGCAGAAAGCTGTGGGCCACAAATATCTGTGTCTCCTCTGCTGGCATACACAGAGCTCAGCACCCCCAGAGCAGCCTTGCTTTGCTGCCCACGTGCCCTTTGAGCCCTCAGCTTTAACTCTGATGATCTGCTTGTGATTTCTTCCCCCCTCCCTACATGCTTTGGAAACACATGAAGGGGAAATGCCACAGAGTGCAACACTGCCTTTCCAGCTCTGCTTCTTGGCTCCCTGAAACACCACTTGCTGGAAGGGCCTGCAACCAGGGCAATTCATAAATGCCTCATTGTCAGCTACTCCAAGTCTGCAAAAATCACAAGAAAGAGAACTAGAGCAAATATCAATTGCTGTCAGATAACTAGAGCAAACATTAATTGCTATCTCACCAATCAGAAAGATACCTCCCAGCCATGCTCTTCACCCCACAATAGGACTGCCCAGCAGAGTTTACTAGTCATAAAATATCCCATAAAAAAGAATTACAGATAATTTTTGGTATATTATAATTCCCTATGGCATACATACCTTACCACACTTACAAATTGGTAACTGAAACATTTATGTCCCCAACAGAAAATAAAGGTTCTATGAGTTTGTTTCCCTCCTTCTCTCACTGTGTGTAATGTTAGAAAAAGATTTATTCCTTGGGAAAGTGCTTGGACTGCCCAGGTTAATTTAACAGAGACTCTCAATGTAATAATAAAAACATTCTACATAAAAGTCCTTGCCTTTGCATTGTATTGATTTCAGGAGTAGATTTACTATTTTGCAACTTCAGCCTGAATAATTGCTTCTCTCAGACTGTGAAACTCTGCATGGGAGCAACAGTACCAGAGAGGAGAGGGAAGGGCTGTTCCCTCTGAAGGAGATAATAAACAGAAATGAGAGTGCCTCCTTTTTCCAGGGCTCAGGGGGAAAGGAGCACTCTGCCTTCAGGGAATTTCCCTGGGCTGAGGGCACTTCCCTGCCTCAGTATTGCTCAAGATGCAGGTGTAGGTTGTCTTCTCCCTATCTCAGTTTTTGGCTTCTCACTTCGGACTGAATCTTCTTTATGGGCAGTTCTTATCTCACAGGTTAGAAAATCATTGCCCCTGAATGACACATTTTATCCACCCTTTGACCACATGGATCATAAAAATATGAAATAAGATTATATTTTTTCTGTTTAAAATAAAACAAATTTTCATTTTATGAACATTTTAGATTTTTTTTTTTTACTATTTACTTAGTTTCTCTGCAACAATTGAAAAAAGAGATCCTGAGCTCTATTGGCCAACCCAAAATCTTCACATTAACTATAGCCTTTCTTCCAGATCTAGTTGTTAAATTTACCTGAAAGGTCTCAAGGTTCTGTTGCTTGATGGAAGCTCTGAGGTATGGAAATCCAAGATGCAATTATTAATTTCAGGAAGAATTCACCCTGCACATCAAACCCCTCTGCAAGGCTGCATTTGCCAGGTTTCCAGTGAAAAACTGAGCTCCCCGGACTGGACTGTGGTGCCTCTGTGACCTGAGTCCTGGAAACCTGTCAGATGCAGCCTTGCAGAGGAGTTTGATGTGCAGGGTGAGTTCTTCCTGTAATTAATAATTGCATCTTAGATTTCTGGCCGAGGCCAGGCAAGCAAACTTGGGGGGTGTGGAAAACCCTGGATGTGTTCTTCCCATGAGATACAGGGCAAATATACATTTGTCTGTCTACAGATGGTGCATGTAACCAGCCAGTGGGTTCAGTCCTAAATCTCCAGTGCTTTCTGCCCCACAAAAAAAAAAAAGCATTAATAACAGAAGAGTTGGAGAAATGCTTTTTCCCCTAGAAGACAAGAGTAGAAAGTCTAAAAATTCTCAATTTGATTTGGAGCCCTGTGGTTACTCAAGGCACAGGAGTCAGTAGAGATCAGCCCATGCCTTCTGAATTAGTGACATTCAAGGGTTGTGATGGAAGAAACACAAAGATATTGTTCAGAAAACAACAATTATTTATTTATCATCAGTACAGGGACCTTGCAACAATAACAAACTGTTCAGCAGCCTAAAAAAGGTCTTTTTATATATTTGTGGGAATGTCAGAAGGCTGTTGATTTTCTCAAATGTTCTGACTGGGTTTGGGACAATGGGTGGAGCAACTTCTACCTTCTGCAGTCCTCATTGGTGAATTAGAGTTGCCTGTAGCTTTTTAACAAATTTTTGTCTTGAGATCAAGTATAATCCATGTTGGAATTACTGCCCTGTGAATTCCAAGCTCAGGGCAAAAGTAGGGTAAAGGTAGATACAAAACAGAAGCAAAGAAATAAAATCTGAAGGACCTGCAAATGGAGGGGGGGTTTGGTCTTTTCTTTAAAGAAGAAGTACCTGAAAATTTACTTCTATGCATTGGAAGATAAATTGTTTGGTTTAGTAATCTTCCAGCAGAAAAGAAACTGTGTTTGAGACTTTCAGACTATCAAACAAGAGGAAAAGCAGCAGCTCAAAACATATCTTGCCTGGTTTATGAAAACAGAAATAACACCACTAGATGATGGAAGAAAAAAACTTCATAAGACATGGGAATGAGGATACAACACATCTACAACTGTGAGTCTGAATGAAAAAGAAACTTTGTCAAAAGATCACTATGCTCCAACTTGCAAACCTCTGCATGTTATGGTGTGATAATAATTCAGATGTTCTGGTGACCCCTACTTAACTGAATGTATTTTTAATCAAAAAACCTTTTCAAAACAACAGATTGAAGAATAAAGAAAGAAAGATATTTTAGGTGGCTGTGGGAATAGGAGATGAGGTTGTGAGAGTTTTCTGGGGGAAATCCAGGCGCAGGTGAAGGAAAACGTGGCATGAAAATTGGAATATCTGAGGAACCAGAGAAGAATCTGAAGGAGAAGAAAGCCACCAGAAGGAGAATGGCAGAGATGAAGGAGATCCTCCGATCCAGAAATCTCCTGCTCGTTGTTCTCATTCCACTTCTGCTGCTTCCTCTGCCACTCATATACCCCAGCAGTGTAAGTACATTTTCATTTTCTTTTTAACAAAGCCTCTGAGTGCAGCAGATAGTCCTGCT